GTCAAAAGACAAATCGAGAAAGTTGTGGTACTAAGATTTTTAAGAATGACTTATTTATCCATTACCTTAGACCTGCCCACAGGACCAGGTGGGTAAGTGTAAGTTAAATGAATCTTTGAGTTGAGGGTTTCCTCCTAAAGGGTGTTTGGCTATTTCTGTTGTGGAAGGCCTGTCGTTAACAACAGATAAGATTCAGTCTCAGCCAATTCATCAGATCATCTAAGCACCTTGTTGGGGAGATTAAGTTCAGTTAAACTTCCAGAGAATTTTGCCAATTCACGCATTTGCTGCTCATTGGCTTATTTTTTATGCTTCTGAGATGTTCTATGGTGACTCCCCTCTTTGACAGCAAGATTTATTTATCCATCCTTGGAATATTACTAATGACTTCTGGTGATATTTTGGTTGCCTAAAATATTAGCTTGATATTATGCATGGAGGCAAACATTGTAGGACAGCATCATTGTGAAACAGAAGAAACACCAGTGCTTACAATCTACTCAGAGACATACAAATAGCCTGAGTGATTCTAGATGGTGCCAGGAAGTTGCAGCACCAGACTATGATCTTGTATTAAGAATGGATATATTTGGGACTTTTTAAAGCCCCTTTATACGTCATTTTAAATAGAAATAAGTTTTGGTTTTTAAAAGGAGAAAAAAAAAAAAGAATCTTTGAGGCTACCCTTAGATTCCCTGAAGGCTTTCTATAGCTGCCTCAACTACTGATCGCTTCATTAACATCATCGACAGTTGTGAGACCAGTTTAAGAGAGGAAGCTAACAAGAGTGGGGCAAAGGGTAGCCTGACAGAGCCAGAGGGAGCCAGGGCTAGAGCCTTTGAGACAGAGACTGGGACAGAGGCCTTTGAGATCGAGCCAGAGGTAGAGGCTTTGCTTGCTGGACAATTAAGAAAACCAGAAGCTACTTGCATTTGTATTACATTACTGAACCTGGACTTTGACTATGTGATATCCTATGCCTTCCCCCTCCAAATCTGTTTCCCTAATAAATCCCACAACTGAGTAAAAAGAGTTTTTGGAAAGTCTGTGTGGTCATTTGCAAAGAATTTTGGAACCAGTAATTGGTAGAGGTTGATGCAGAAGCATGAGGGACCAAGTCTGACCTTATAATTTTGCATCAAGTAGGAACTGACTTATGGTCAACCTTCCAGCATAATTTCAAAGACAGTAAATCTCAAAGGAGGAGATTGCTCATCTTTCACCCAAAAAGCTGGTGGATTGAAGCCACATACATTTGGGATTTCAGTGCAGTTTTTTACCATTAGGCCACCAAAGTTCACACCTACGTATGGATCCATTTTAAATTGTTGTCATTGATGGGAACGTTTCCCCTTTTTGCAGTTAGTAAAGATCAGACTTTGCCTTCCTATGGTGCCATTGCTCCACTTGTTGTTGTTGTTGTTATGTGCCGTCGAGTCACTTGCTACTCATAGCGACCCTATATACAACAGCCCTAAACTCTGCTCTGTCTTGTGCCAATCTCACTGTCTCTGACACACCCACTCTGAGTACCCCAGTCACTGAATCAATCCACCTCATAGAGGGTCTTCCCCTCTTGCGCCGTCCCTCCATCCTCCCAAGCATGATGTCCCTCTCCAAGGACCGGTCCCTCCTTACAACATGTTCAAAGTTTGTTAGATGGAGCCTCAGAATCCTTACCTCCAAGAAGCAGCCCAATTTAACCCTCTCCAGGATGAATCGGTTTATTTCCTTGGCAGTCCATGGTACATTCAATACTCTTCTGCAGCACCACAGCTCAAAGGCATCAATTCTCTTTCTATCCTCCTTGGTCATTGTTCAACTCTCTGATGCATAACAAGTGATTGCAAAGACCATAGTCTGTACCAGACTCACCTTAGTCTCCAGATTGACACCATTGCTCTTCAGTACTTTGGAGAGGTCCCTAAAAGTAGAATTTCCCATCACAATACGTCTTTTAATTTCCTGGCTAATGGTGCCAAGAGTGTTGACCATGGAGCCAAGCAGACTAAAGTTGTTAACAATCTCAATCTCTTCATCATCCATCCTGATGCTGCCAATTGGCCCAGTGGTGAGATTCTTTGTCTTCTTGACATTGAGCCTCAATCTATACTGAAGGCTAGTCCTTGGCCCTCTGCAGCAAGAGCTTCAGGTCCTCCTCAGTTTCAGCAAGCAGGGTTGTGTCATCTGCATAATGCAGATTGTTGATAGATCTTCCACCAATTCTGATGCCACAATTCTCCTCATAGAGTCCAGCCTCTCGGATAATCTGCTCTGCATACAGGTTGAAAAGGTATGGAGATAAGACACATCCCTGGCGTACGCCCTTTTCCATTTTGAACCATGCAGTGTTTCCTTGCTCTGTTCTGACGACTGCCTCTTGGTGCAAGTATAGGTTTTGCATTAGCACGATCAAGTGTTCTGGGATTCCCATTCTTCTCAGAGTCAGCCACTTACAGAAGTAAATTTACATTTAAAGTTTTTAGAACCAGCAAAAAAAAATTTCTGCTATTTATAAAGGCCTTATGGGAAGAAAAATAACCACAACAAACCGAAGCCATGCAGTGGAATAACAACAAAATCCATTTCTGGAGGTGATCCCAATTCAGGGTAACTCAATAGCTGGAGCATAATTGCTCTATAAGATTTCCAAGGTGGTAATTTTTACAGCAATAAAAATGAGTAATAAATGAGATTGCCTCATTTATGTATGTGCATATAATTATATACTTGTAAATATTAATATATGTCATATATATAGTTTTATGTTTATATAAAATATATCTGTATGTGAAAAATAACATGAATTACTAGTTACAATCTAGGGAGCTCTGGTGGTGTAGTGTTAAGAATCTGTGCTGCAATCCCAAAGGCATACAGTTCAAATCCACAAGCTAAAAATGGATAGAACAGTACATTGACAGAGTGCTCCCAGGAATACAAACTGGATTTAGAAGAGGCCATGGCATTAGGGATATTGTTACTAATGCCAGATAGCTCTTGGCTGTGAGCAGACAGTACCAGAAGGATGTCTTCTTGTATTTTATAGACTGTACAAAGAATTTGACTTTGTGGATCACAACAAATTATAGCTAATACTGAGAAGATTGGGAATCTCTGAACAGTTGACTGTGTTTCATGGGAAACCTATTACTAGACCAAGAAGCTGCACACTGAACAGAGCAAGGGAACACTGCATAGTTCAGAATTAAAAACGGAGCACATCAGGAATGTATACATTCTCTCTGCTTTTTCTTGTCGGGTTTTTGTTTTGTTTTGTTTTTAATAGTAGTTGTTGTTAGGTGCTGTCAGGTCAAGTATGAACAACAGACCTGGACCTTGTGCCATCTTCACGTCTCTGGCACACTCAAGCCCATTGCTGCAGTCACCATGTCAATCCATCCTGTTGAGGGTCTTCTTCTCTTTTGTTGATCTCCACCCTTCCTAGCATCATGTTCATTTTTAAAGCAGTTGTTTATGTTGTGTGCTATTGAGTCAGAACCAACCCAGAACTGACCCTTCAGCAGGTTTTCAGAGCCAGAAATCTCATATGAGGAGATTGCCCATCCTTCTCCCATGGAGCAGCTGGTGGATTCAAACTGTGTGCCTTCAGGATTGGAGTAAAGATTCTTATCACTAGGACACCACAGTAATATTTGTCCTTTTGTAACGAAGCTATTTCACTTAGCATAATGTTCTCCAGATGCATCCATGCTTTTCAGTGTATCAAGACTTCTTTATTATTGTTTAGTGTTACATAGTACTCCTTCATGTGAAGGTACCATGTTTCCTTTATTCACTTACTCACTGAGAGACATTTGGATTGCTTACATCTTTTCACTATTGTAAGTAACGCAGCGATAAACACACGTGTGCATATTATCTATGAGTTCATAACTCTTATTTCTCTGGAATATAGAGCTAATTGTAGGATTGATGGGTGGTTTGGGTAGAGGACAAGTGCTAAGCAAGAGAGATACTTTAAGAAGAGATTTGCTAATGTAGAGACATGGGCACCCCAAATCAATGATAGTTGGAAAACACTGGGTGGACTATGGAATTGCAGTACCTTGCTGCATGGACAGAGGTGAACTATTGAACTCTAGACCTCAGGTTTCTTACTTTAGGAATTAGATTTATAATTTTCCTTTCAATGCTATGACTTCATAATTAATTTTAGAATCAATATCCAAATGGTTTCTAGGTGCTTTGAACCTGGTTCCTGACTGTTAGCACTTTGCCTGCCAAGATTCCCTTCTTCCTCAAGCAGGGCAAGAAGTTAAATATGAACCATGAGGTTCACAAAAAGGTGAGGGGAACTTGTTAACAGTTAAAGACAAAGGTAGAATTTCTAAGCAATTTACATTGCTTTCTTAAATTTTTTGCCATCTCACAATGAGGTCTTTCTTCAATATGGCATTGAAAGAGGATATAGGTAAGATATATGGTGATGTGAGCAAAAGTAATTCCTAGGGACCAAACAAGGAAGAAAAGCAGAAATACTCTGTGTGATAGTCTGCCCTGTGGTTCTCTAAGCTTATATTTACCCGGATATTCTTATCCTTAACGTTGAAACTCACTCAAAGACCTTAGCTTCCCTAGTCTGTCTCTTTGAGGCTTAGGAGAAGCTAATCTTTAGGACATGATAAAGTAGAAAGCTTGTTGGACTCAGCATAGTGTTCTACTTGTTCCAATTCTGCTGCTCACTATATGTGAGACTTTTCTCAGTTTTATCGTCTGTAAATCATATAGAACACTCACTTCCTAGGCTGTTCACTTAGTTTGAACTAAGTGAATATCCTATATAGATATGTAAAAAGCTATTCACATCCTAGTGGCTATTGTTACTGTAGTTGTTGGATAATAGCAGCAGCTGTGTGAATAGTTTGTCTTTCTCTCCCTAGAGGAAGCCACCTAGAGAATAGAGAAATGAACTGGATAGGGGATAGACTTCAGCCTCCACCACCAGCTTCTTACATAAGATCCCTGGTAGCACATACCATCCCAGGAGCTGGACTCCATCCAGTTGGCAGCATTGAAGAGTGAGGCAGTGCCACCATAGCAGGCATTGGTGGTGTCAATGCCCTCGATGTCGGTGTTCCCAGAGTCCTGGAAGAGCTCCATGAGCACTGTTTTGACAGCTTTGGACTTGTCAATGATGGTCTCAGTGCCCACCTCCAGGCGGCCCACAGCGTCCCATGGGACCTTTGTGCGCTCCATCAGCCTCTGCACCACCGTAAGGCACAAGGAGTTGATATCTTCTTGGACCGAGCAGAATCCCATCTGGGTCTGGCCCAAGCCCACTGTGTACTTTCCTGCTTCCACCTTGTTATATTTCTCCAAGTCCGTTTGGTCCACATATTGGGCTGGGAAGTAGACTTCCAGGGCAAGGATGCCCACATCCTTCGGCCAAGCATCTGTTCTGGCGAACGGGGCAGCAGAGGTGGTAGAAAACCTGTAGAGGAGATAACAGCAACACAACAATCATCTGACTTAACTATTTTTTAAAAATAAATGCCATCATATAAACACAAGTATAGATTGTATCATAAGCACGAAATCTTTTAAACTGATTTTTTTTTTCCTTCTTAAACATTCTTCTTTTTTGGTAGTAATTATTCTTGCTTTAAAGTCCTTTATTTTTCAACATTAAGATAAACACGCTTTGTTTAGTGTTTGTATGACACTTATATTTTTGTCCATTTACACTTTCAGCCTATCAGAATCTTCGTATTTAACAAGAATCTCTTGAAGAGCATATATTGTTGTATTGTGTCTCTGAGTCAATTCTGATTCAGAGTGACTCCATAGAGTGTTCTTAATTGTAATATTTATGGAAGCAAATTGTCAGGTCTTTCCTCCTGCAAGAAAATATTGAATTTTCCCTTCTAAAGATGCCCTTTGAAATCATGCCCTGTTCAACTCTCATTTCTTCTATTCATTTTAGATTCTTTATGTTGTAGAACAAGTTTTAGACTATCTCCTGACATCCATTTTGGAATTTTCTTTCTTCTTTATCTTTTGTAATTATTTGTGTGTGTGTGTGTGTGTGTGTGTGTGTGTGTGTGTGTACTGTCAAATTGTATCTGACTGGTATAGGAGCAAATTGTTCCTCCTTCTCCAGCAGAGCACCTGATGGATTCGAACTACACACCTCTGGGATTGAAGTACAGCTTCTTGCCACCAGGCCACCAGAGCTGATCTCTTCCTTGTCTTTTTAATGGCCTTTGGCTTTCTTTGTGTATGTGGTTCTTAATGCCATGGTACAACTGCCCTGCTCCTTACTCATAAGTGTTCAGTGAATCAAATCTAGATGATCTCTACACTCAGGTAGGATATACTCAAGATCATATTTTGGATTTGGTTTCCATTTTCTTTAGTTTGAACTCGCATATGAGCATTTGATTTGACCTTCCCCAGCGGAATACACCAGGATCAAATTAATTACATAAATATTCCATATCATCAGTCATAACAAGGCCAGGAACCAACTGCTAGACCATCCAATGCTCACCATTGGTGACCCTGCTGATATTTGAAATACTAGTAGCAAAGCTCCCAACATCACAGTAACATGCAAGTCATCAGCATGGCAAACTGACAGACAAATGGTGAAATTGTTTATATTTTTGTTATTTCTAATTTTGTTAGGTTTACTGTCTTACTATTGGCTTCTTTTTAACCCCCTCATCTGTCGTTTGTTCCTTTATTCTTTCTTTGCTGTCTTATTTTGGACTGGGCCATTATTGCTTATACTTATTCTACTAACATACAGGTTGATGGTTTGAACCCATAAAAACGACACCAAAGAAGAAATGCTTGGTGATTGGCTTCTTTAAAAACTGTAGCTAAACAAAGAAAACAAAAAATCCTCTATACCACAATACCTGGAGTCCTGATGATTCAGAATCAACTTGATAGCAATATTGTTTGTCTTTTTTTAATGAGTTATTTTAATGTCATTTGTAATATTTTAATTTATAATAATTTAATTTTTATCTTTTTCTTATAGTGGTGACCATTGTTGTTGTTATGTACTGTCATGTCAGGACCAACTAAATTATAGCTGATCTTCCAGCATAGTTTTTCAGAGACTGAAAATCACACAGGAAGAGATTGTCCATCTATATCCCATGGAGTAGCTGGGAATTAGAATTGTCAGCATTTGGATTGGCAGCGCAACTCCCTACCTTCTAGGTCACCAGATTATAAATGTATGCTTGATTTGTTTGAATCTATCTCAGATAGATGATGTATCTATTGGTGTAATGTACCAGGTTGCTATCATATTGGTGATTTGGATCCATTCACAGCTCTGTGGGAGAAAAATGGGCAGTTTTACCCTATACAGACTCACAGCCTCAAAAAGGCAATGGAGGGCCACTCTGAATCAGATTCAGTTTATTTAAAGTGGACTTCTTTCAGTTTACTACCTTATGAGCAACATAAAAACCTTATTGTGGTTTATCTTTTCTTTTTTTAAAGGTATATAGATTTTTTAATGTTTTTATCATTACTATACATTGTGGAAGGGTTTTTTTTTTTTAAAGATACTTACTTTTTGTTTTTATTTTTTAAGTTTGAATGTGGAAAAACTTTTATTAGAGTCCAATTAATGATAAAATAGCTTTATTTTCTTGATGGAATTTTTTAAGCAATCATAGTCATTTATTTTACTTTTGCATCTGCTATCCACCCCATGAAACATTTTATTACCTCCATTTTGTATTTTGTTTAAACCATCTCTTTATCTCCTTCTTTCTTTTTTTATATACAAGACCACATTGATGGTTATCGATGGTTTTTCTTTTTTTTAACTATTTGAAAATATTTTTGCTTGATTTCATCATTTCTACTTTTCCTGCCCGGCCTTTCCAGTCTTTACTGAACACATTCTAGATATCCAACACCTTGCTGGGTTCCAGAAGCACAATGATAAACATGATAACTTTTGTGATAAAGACATAGGGTAAGGTCTAATAGAGGAGGCTGGCATTGTGAAAATGAAATACTTAATGGAACAAGGAAAGGGTGTAGGAACACAGAGGGCAGAGAGGTTGTTTCTAAATGGGGATAGACAGATAAGGATGGGATCAGTGGAAGGAAAATATAATCTATAATTTTTCTTGTATCTTTCTTCGTTTCAAACCTGAATCTTCCTATCCCTGGTGAAAATCTGAAGTCTGTCCTTCTGACTACAAGGAGAGTTCAACTCCTTTATGCTGTATTAAAATATCTAATATCTGGTCATTTCAGGATATTCTTCCTTTTTTTTCAGATGGTGACATCTAGGCACAAATTGGGGATGTGATAGCAGAGTAACATGGTTAGAAATGGTAAATTAGAAATAGCCTGCATGCATTGACTTGGGTACCAGCCCAGTGTGTGTCACACGTTGGACTTCATAAGTGCTTATAGATTTCTCCTATACATATTAGGTAGAGGATTTCCTACTGTGAAGGAATGGCAGGATGGCCCCCTGCTCATAAATTTAGCTTTATATTCACAGGAGATGCAAGATTCAGCATTTTTTTTTTTGTAGACCTCATTCTCCGACCAGAAAGACACCTTTGAAAGGGTGCTATAAGATAAAATTACATCAAATGATGAAAAGACAGTGAAATAAAGTAATGAATATTCATCTTGTATCTGACAAGAGCAGTTTGGAGTTTAAGTATTTTTTCATGCCTTCTAAATAAAGTTTTTACTCTCATGTATTCAGAGATAGAAAGAAAATACTTCATTAATAGGCCCCTTTTGTAACAATAATTAGTAACATTTGTAGCTGTCTTAGTAGGAAGTTTTCTGTGGAAATGGCTTCAAGAACAATGAAGAAAAGCTTACTTGTAGATTTTCCAGAAGCATCCAAGCATTGGAGATAAATTGTCTCCCTCTAATCTTATGCTTTATCTAAAGGATAGGAATTTAATTTACTGTAAATGTGATTTTTTTTATGGTGTTGCCTGGTTCAAGAAAATGCATTAAGTTTCTACTTCTTCAGTTCATCTCACTTCTTCTTTTTTGATTTAAAATCAGTTATTGACAGGCACTTTGCTACGGATTGTAGGAGTGGAGTGAGAGGAGGCAAAGGAACAAGGAAGGCAACGTTCTTGTTCTTGATCAACAAGAAGATTGAGATAAGCATATGCATAACTGGACTGCAAGGCAGGGTATAAAAAGGAATCAAGAGGGGTAAGAATAAAAATGCTACAAAGTTTCAAATCAAAGTTTTCCTATGAGTGAGAGAATTAGGAAAAGTTTCACGGAACAAACATGTCTAAGGTCAACTTCAAAGGATAAAAGGAGTTTCTTTCAATGAAGGATTAGAGAATAGTTTGCCAAGGCAAAAGGGGACAAATTCCATTTATTTGAAAAGAGTGTATAGTGGAAGAGAGACAAACACTAAGAAAAGTAGATTGGGGCAATGTGCAGGACTGTTGCTTTTTATTGTTTTAAAAATTTGGTCTCCATAGACCATTGTCTTTAATTTTATCCAGCTGCCTTAATTCGGCCCTGCAAACAAGTTGGTTTACCTACATAATCAGCAGCTGTGAGAGCCATCTCTTTCTCATCTAGACAGGTTGTGTTACTTGTCTATCCACAAGAGGATTGGCTAGTTTCACTGTTGAGCAGACTCAGAGACACAAAGTGAGAATCTCATCAAAAGAGACCAATACAGGAGTGGTAGCATGGCTTGTTGAGCCTAAACTTGCTGGAGGATGAGGAGTTGTCTGGACTGAGGGACTGTATACTGCAGACTGAGGTAGGAACAAGATGTGATATACTATTGATGAAGATGTTTATTGAGTTGTAGAAGCAGTTGTCTGGACTGAGAAACAGTGGTCTGGTTTGGCACTGTAGCTAGTCTATTTGGATGTACCTGACTTGTGACTGCAGCTCCACTGAGCCAGAGTCAGAGGACTTCACCCATGCTTGCTGGAGGCTTGAGCAATTGTAAGGGATTGATTATTGATTATTTACTGTTTCTTGTTGCTACCTTGAATTGTGGCCTGTTGACTTTCCTAATAAGCCCCATATAAAATCCCATGAGTACAGTTCTGTGAAGTCACATTTTATAATGGATTTCAGATCCATTTATCAGTAAGATTGGTATTGGAATTGGTGAAAGTGGGTGTAGTAGTATGGGAGACGATATCTGACCTTGAAACTCGGTATTGTACTATGGATGTTGTTGATAGGGACAGTTCCCCTTTGTGGAGTTATTAGAACCTTTCTCCATGTTATCCTTGCTCCCAATACAGCATGATTGCTTAATTTTAGAGATAACAAAGTAGATAGATGTTCAAATAGAAGCAATTATTAGCTTGGGCTAGAAGAGATAAATATAAAGACATATGATGACATACAAAGAAGATTATTTTTTATAATACTTTAGACTATAGATAATGGGTTTAACTAGGTCAGAGCACATCATAAAGGAAAATGTGAAGTATTATTCCAAATTTTTGAACTTAAGGGGAGAATTTGTGACAATTAAGCCTTGTCTCTTGAATGGTGGACAATTGTTGATTATGAAAACAAAGAAACCTATGTCAATCTCTTTTTCTCTAATACATAAAAAAGTTAAACTAGAACTAGAACATTTGAACTGTATTCATTACTTTGGCAGGAGAGAGAGAAGAGATGAATATGATGATAGAGGGCCAAGAAGACAGTAAAAAGGCTAAAGAACTTCACCCTCTAGGCTACCCACTTACCCCCTCACACCCAGCCTTTCTGGGTACCAGCAATGAAAGACTGCATTGAAATAATAGTTTGGAAGTATTTGTAGGATGTAGAGTAAAAATGAAAGGGAAGAAAATGCCTAGTCGTAGGAGAGGCTAGTCCTTAGAAAAGGACATATTTGGAAAAGGAGGAAAGTCAACAAAAGAAAGGAAGACACTGAATGAGATGGATTGACACAGTGGCTGCAGCAATGGGCTCAAGTGTATCAGAGATGATGATGATGGCACAGGATAGGATAGGGTTCATGCCTGAACACACACACTTAACAGCAAATACTGTAAGGGAGTTCTAGTGGTCTACATATAAGGAGTTGTGCTGCCAACCTAGAAGCAGGTGGTTCAAATTCACTAGCTGCTTCACAGGTGAAAGATGGACAATTTTCTTCCATTTGATTTATGGTCTCTGAACACCAGCTGAAGAGTAAGCTAGAAATTGATTTTGACTCAATGGTACAACAAAATATTGTGGGTAATTCAGGAATAGGACAATAATATAGTCAATATGTAAACTTCCTCTCCCCAGTTTTATCACTGGGTCTCATTTTCTCTTTTCATGAAATTGGAGAACAGGGGAAAGAGGCTTCATTATCCTCACTCTGTTTAGAATCTTGTGGCAAGAACTGAAAGTGACTGTTTATTGTGAACACCGTGGATGGTACAGATCATTAAAGGTTAATAGAGCCTGGGAGCAGAGATGGGAATGGTGATGGGAGAGAAAGCCAAGGCCCTTGGAAGCCAAGCTCACACCACTCTCTGCTTCTCATCCAGTGGGACTGAGAACTTGGCTGGCAGCTGGAGGTCACCATGCTTCTTCTGCAACAGGCAATTAATTGCCCTCACTTGGAGACTTGCAGAAATCTCAGACTTCTAGGAAATGTAGCAATATCTCCAAATACAAAGCTGAAGATGAAGTATAGACAATGGTGAATGAAAAGAGGACTGCATTCAAAGCAGGAGCTGCCTTTGCTTCCTGATGATCATTAGCTGTCAATTGTATTTTAGCTAATACTTTGGAAATTGCATTTCACAACTCCACACCCATCCAGTCCAATCACCTTTACAAAGCAAAACTACTTCCCCCTTCATCTCTAAGGAGTGCCAATAGCAGCTCAGCTCTCACTGAAGCACAACCAGTTCTGCACGCTGGAGGGAGCTACTGTGCTGGTTTATTCTTAGGAATGTTTTTGATGACTAGAGATTAGTGTTGAAGGGGGCCAAAGCTCACAGATCATACAAAGAGCTGCTACTGTGGGGATTGTTTTGGTTTGTTTTTCTTCTCCCTTCTCCTTTTCCACCTCCTCTCACACACACCATTTTTCAAAAATAAATTGTTGAGTCCAGTCTTTTGGATCATTTAGTATTAACCATGAATGATTTTCAGACACTTCATCATAATAATTACACAGTCTGAGAGAATCTGGTATTCCCATTGCTCCCCAAGATTGGGGAACCCGAGATACTGCTGTTTACAAACACTACTGGTGAGGGGTATCTGAGATCCTAGGATTTTATAGTGAGAGGGACAGTCTGCTCAGAGATGAGGAAGTGAGACCCGGAGATGTTAACTTGTTCCTCTTAGGCTCTGTAGTCTCCTCTCCTTGTCACCCTCTTTCTGAGATTCTAGGGAGTTTTTCCTATGGCATACCACCTGCCTATCTTTTAGAGCTTCCAGGATGCTCCTCACACATTGAGCTGTGCTCCCAGGGTGTTGAGACTTACCTCTGGTGGGCTGCAGGCATAAGCTGAGCAGGGGTGAAAGAAGCATCCTGCAGGACTCTTTGCATTTGCAAGACCCGCTTTGCTGGAGTCAACAGCCTCTGCATTTTCAGAGGCGCACACAGAAAGTAGGCAGTTTCAAATCCTTGGGAGAGATGCCCAGCACAGCTCCATCTGGCTTTATAGAGCTGGGAGGCCTCTGCTGAAGGGAGCTCCGCCCCTGCTAACCCAGCCTCCAAGAGTTTCTAAAATGGGCCAAAGGTCTCATTCAGAACATGGGCGAGTCAAAGGAAAACATCTCTTAGCTAACATGTACAAAGTTGTCCTGTTCTTGAGAGTGTGTGTGGGAGAAGGAAACTCTGGTTCATCCTCTAGGCCTTTCTGGTGGCTTTACTTCTGCCCAAGGAGCTCTGGTGGCCCAGTGGGCAAGAAGTTGCACTGCCAATGTAAAGGCAGGCACGTCAAATCCACCAGCTACTCCACAGGAGATGTTGTGTTGTTGTTATGTGCCGTCGAGTCGATTGCGACGCATAGCGCCCCTATGTACAACAGCCCTAAACTCTGCTCTGTCCTGTGCCAATCGCACAGTCTCTGACACTCCTATCCCAATTATCCCAGTCACTGAATCAATCCACCTCATAGAGGGCCTTCC